TTCTTAGAAAAGCAATGGCAGTACATAATCTATTTATAGAAACAAGTGATCTCATTCTGTAAATCTGACCTTCAGTGACCTCAAAACCAACAGCAAATGTTGCTGTTGAAACATGTGGGGCTAGCTACCTTAAAATTACAATAAATTTAAAATCATTTACATCTTCAACACTGTAATCTACTATGTATTATGTGGGGCTAGCTACCTTAATATTACAACAAATTTAAAATAATTTACATCTTCAACACTGTAATCTACTATGTATAATGATGTGGGGCTAGCTCCCTTAACATTACAATAAATTTAAAATCATTTACATCTTCAACACTGTAATCTACTATGTATAATGATGTGGGGCTAGCTACCTTAATATTACAATAAATTCAAAATCATTTACATCTTCAACACTGTAATCTACTATGTATAATGATGTGGGGCTAGCTACCTTAACATTACAATAAATTTAAAATCATTTACATCTTCAACACTGTAATCTAATATACACCAGGTTTTTTGGCTGATTAAATCTGTTTCTATATAAAACTAGATTTCAATTATTATAGGAAATCTGAGTTCGTGGTTAAAGCTAGTCCTGATAACATCAGTAGATGTGGTTACGTAGATAAAGCTGGCTTTTATGTGACAGGCACACAGGCCATCACATTATATGTACTGACAAGTGTTAGACCAGGAATTAATACATGGCTTCAGTGTACAGAGAGAAAAACATCTATAGGTTAGCTAACATGACAGGTGCTGTCTACCAGCAGACATTTATATATATCACAGTTCATTTGATATTTCATAATTTCCTATTAAAACGTTTATCAATAAGTTCTGCATTGTATCCCCTATATTGATATAATATGACTCAATAGTTAAGCAATTCATTCATTCACCCCTGAAGACACATTTGAACTCTTCCAATTCAATGGTTGGAATAGTTCATTATGAAATTTCAGGGGTAAATGAGTTAAAGGTTACAGAGATTCTACAGATAGAATTTTCCCTTTCAACTTTTTCCTGTTTAAATAAATCATTTTTTTCCAATTCATATAAGTTGGTTATATAAGTTTTTTTCTTATTTCACTTTGTGTGTTTTATAAACGCATGTTTATTTTGAAACATGTGTTGATTCCTTCTACAATTATTAAGCCAAATACTTTCCAATTGTCAAACTGTCCATTGGCATCTACCGTGACCTGATAGCTTAAGGAGTAGTTGTACTGTCATCAGTTTGTCACTGCAGCCTTCAACACTACACTCAATACTCCTTACATTGGTAAAATCACACCTTGAGAAAATACTCTTTATAACTAATTTGAAAAATATTGAAACAACACGAACAAAATAGCTTCATTACATGGGTATACGTTTCGTCAGATCGCCCATTCAAGGCTGACGATTTCCGTTTTAGGATACCCAATATTATAACTCACCCCACCTGTACAGGTAAAAATTGTCAGGTAAGCCGTGCTGAACACCTGTGTGGTGTCGGGTTTGGGGAGAGCCCCAGCGGTATTATCGACACAGATTTACTACTGGATCGTTGGGTTTGCTATCTGGAGGCAAGGCAGTATATAGATACAATGGTATTCTAGTTCTAATCAACTCAAATCAAACTTGAAAACATCAAAGAAAGTTTATCCTAAAATCTGGAACAAGATAAAGTAAGGACCTATGGAGGAGGCACACCACCACACAATTCATATTAAATCAATTTAAGCCACAAAATTGGGAAGAATTTATACATCATGACTAATAATGATAGGACCGGGGTAAAAACTCGCATGGATTAGGACCCAGGATCCCGACACTCTAGCCTGTCCATACAATCTTCAACATCAAGAAGGAACTCTTTCACCGTGAGAGCAGCATGCATATATGGAACAATCTACCAGTATCTGTGATATCTACTCCAACAAGAGATCCCAGAGGGATCTTGGCGCCCACTATTGTACCATCTTCATTAGTTCTTAGTCAGTTCAATCTTTTCTCTTCTTTCCTCTAATTTGTTTGATCGAGTCATGTTAACAGTAAATGCACCTTGAGATAACTTTTGATCTAAACTTAATACTGATGTGTATGAAAGCCAACCTTCAAAGTGAGTTTGTCATTTCACATATTTACTAGTACAGTACTTAATGTGAAAGAAATAGAATCAATCATTGCAATATGAGAAAGATCTGTTTAGTTCTTCCTTTAGCCATTTTGTTTTTATAATCAGTCTCAAAATATAACATGCACAACGAGGGATCAAGGGGAACCTACATATATTTGAGAAATATCCCTCATGCCCAAATAATTTTGGGAAGAAATATTTCCACAGCATTTAACACAATGCTTCAGCACATTTAAATTATATATAACATTACAATATTTGTAATATGTAAAACAAATTAAAACATTATATTTTTAATTCTTCAACCCTAGTTAAAACCTGACAGGATCCACTCCATTCAGGTCTTCCCAAAAAGAAATACACAAAACTTGCACCTCAAAGAAGACACCCTGGCAGTATTTATATCGAAAAATCAGAAAATATATCATCACATTTTCTTAATCACAGACAGTTCGATTCAAATCGAAGTAGTGACAACTGAAAAATGTACTGCCCCCCAATTAATGTGGAAGGGACTATAATTCCTTTTATTCATTAAATTTTCATCAGTCGCCCAAACTATTTTTGTTGGGCCAGTGACTACCTCACTTTTGACAACTTTTAGTAACTCGAGCAAGACTTTGACCGCCATTGGCGAGCGAGGCACTGCTGCACAACAAGGAACAAGGGGAACCTACATATAAAATTTGAGAAAGATTCCTCCCGTACTTCTTGAGAAATACTGATAACAAACTTTCACTATCAAAATCCAAGATGGCTGCCTGTCGGCCATGTTGTTTATCTGATCAGTCTCAAAAGTTGCCCTGCGCAGCTAAGGACCAAGGGGAACCTACATATTTAATTTGAGGAAGATCCCTCTGGGGCTTTTTGAGAAATAGCGAAAACAAACTTTCACTATCAAAATCCAAGATGGCTGCCTGTCGGCCATGTTGTTTATCCGATCAGTCTCAAAAGTTGCCCTGCACAGCTAAGGACCAAGGGAAACTGACATATAACATTTGAGAAAGATCCCTATGGTACTTCCAGAGAAATAACGATAACAAACTTTCACTATCAAAATCGAAGATGGCTGCCTATCGGCCATGTTGTTTATCCGATCAGTCTCAAAAGTTGCCCTGCACAGCTTAGGACCAAGGGGAACCCACATATAAAATTTGAGAAAGATCCCTTTGGTACTTCTTGAGAAATACCGATAACAAGAATTGTTTAAGGACGGACGACAGAAGGACGGACCACGGACCACGGACCACGGACCACGGACGCAGGGTGATTTGAATAGCCCACCATCAGATGACGGAATAAAAATCAAAAAACAAATTAGATACCTGTAGTATAGTGACTGATATATCCCAAGTTGGTAGGTTTATTATAGAAACTAAGAAAGTATGCCAATATAAGAAAGCAGTGTACAGTAGAAATGGCCTGATCCTAAAATTAAAGGTCATATATATATATATACATGTCTCAGGTAATACATGGATAGTGGATAAGAGATATAATTTTTTAGATTTTTTTTAAGAAGAGTTTTCCCTGGATTTCTGACTTATGAAATTCATGGTAACCACATCAAAACAAAACTGCAAAACAAAGATTGATTTTAACACAGACTTTGAGTATGTCTATTAAAACGCCAATTTCAGTGTTGATTTATAAATTTTTTGATACACCTATCATTATGGGGGTTATTCATTTTACAAAAACATCACCCATGGCCATCATGGGCTACTTACTGTACACTGCTACCTTAGAATGCAATACAAAGAGACTAGACAGAAAACAGAGCCCCAGTTTTGTGTTGTAGCTCTCCTTTGGCATCAGGAGAGGCAAACACTTGTTATTGCTGAGGACATGATCAAACAACAGCAATAACCCTAAACCCATTACATATTACAGACTACACCACAAATACTTCTCTTAAGATGTTAGCATACAAGTGGGCAACAGACTAAAAGATTGTGCCAAATGTGGAATCTCTGTATGTAAAACTTGCTCACATACCAGATAGTGCAGGTAGATACTTGTATAATGAAGATTTTTTTCTTTTAAATGTCATTGAATTGAGCCGTAAAGAATGTAGCTGAAATATATCCCGACAGCTGAAAAACCCTTAGGCTCTATTTTAAAATTGTTGGCACCAACTAAATAACAGAGTCGTACAAGTATATTTTGTAGCTGTACATGTAGGTAGATGTTAAAATAATATAGACAGGCGGAAGTTACACGGTAAAGGTTACCATGTAAAATTACAGTTTGAATGTCTGGTCTGTAACACGAGTGGTGGAACTCTGCAGTGGTTGTCTGCAGGTGCACTTAATACCATAATACCTCTATCAATCATCCAGGCGATTATTATTAACACCCAATGGTAACCGGAGGGGGTATTATTAGCAATAATACAACATGTATACAAAAACATGTTCTAGTGGGTCTTTTGAAAGCAATTAACAGAAAGGAAAAAATCCAGGAAATTAAATGTCATTTTAAAAATATTTCTCCTTTCTTTCGAGTATCCTAATAAACACAAAGAACAGTGTAAGTGGGTGATTATCATAGATGTTTTCAACATTCTTAAGTAGGCTTAAAATGGAACAAAAAGGAAAATGATTGTCTTAATTAGGGTGTGGAGGATTATTGGAATACAGGTGCTGAATAGATGCAATACGGTACAAGTATGTACGATGGATTGATTGCACAAGGTGATTTGTAATCAATGGCAATAAGATTTAGACGTACAGGAAATGTGATTACAATGTACACCAAATCTAACTCCACATTATCTATTCTAAAAGAGTGTCAAAAAAATTCAAATCGGCTCAAAATGTATACCGTATAATGTGAAATGTGTCTGTGGTATAAACGCCCTCTGTTCAAGGCTTACCTTTAATGAGGAGAATATTTTTGCCAGGTTTGGCGGCAGAGGCAGGATATGTGAAGGATTTCCATCTCGCTAACAAATCTTCCTCCTCTGTAAGGACATTGAAGAGTTCGGGGAGTGGCTCCCGTAATTCCTCGACGGAGCTCGAGTCATCCATACCCTCCTCCGTATCCTTGGGTTTACATAGCCCTGCGTAACGACAAGAAGTGTAATGTTATATAACAAACACACAGAAATCGTGTTTAAAATATCACATACAATCATCAGACTTTAAATGAAAATGGAGCCAATATATTAATACTGTACAAATTTTAAATTTTAATAAAAGTGTTGGAGCTAAGTACAAAGTCTTAATTAGTAACTGAAGTGAAAAATATATATCACAGTGATATATATTTTACATATTGGTGTCGCCCAAGCTCAAGCTCCTCAAGAAATAACAATGTATGACATGTTTTGGATGTTGGGAGATTTCGAATATATCTTGGAAAATCATAGCAACATTTTTCACTTGGAATGGGGCAGGTTTTTTTGGCACTAAAAGGCCCAGCTTTAAAGATCGATGGCTAAATTGGTAAAGTTAAATATAAAGTCGAACCAAGTTGTTGTACGAACATATTATATATGGATGTACTGATGTACTCATCTATGTTACTTATGAGTTTAGTTCTTTGTTTTCCAACAAAGAAAAATTAAAAAAATCCAAATACACAATGAAGTTTACAGAACACATTTAGTGGGTTTCATTGTGTTAGGCCAATCCCCTAAACTCCTAAGTTATGAACGATAGCTCGGACTCCTAAGTCATGAACGATAGCTCGGACCTACGGAAATAGCAACCACTTAATTAATGACCAATCAACCACTACTTGTTATGTATGTCATATTATATGAGGTACGTATACTGACAGACGGAAAAAATACCTCGACGCCAAACTTACCCACACAAGCACAGCAGTCCATAAACAGACTGTCTAGGCACACGGTACAGTTTTTAAGGCACCTGGAGTTGGTAAAGTTTCCAAAGTCACACGAACATGCATCTATGAGAATGCATTTGCTCACAATTGGACCACATATTGCTTCATTACAAGCATCCACAAGACACAGACTTCCAAAAACGGTCACCAAGGTGACGCAGAATAAAACACACCCCTTCATCCTGTACAGCGTTGTACCTGGCAATGAAAAATATGACAGACAATTTAAATATGTGCCTTATAAACAATAATTTCATTAATTTGAAAGCTTAATTAAGGTATCCAACACTATGGTTTCTACAATGATGAAATAATTTGGTCCTTTGCCTCTCATCTAGATACCTGAAAGTATGCAAGGCTATTAATATTAAGTAAATGGGTCACATTTAGTCACACATAGATTCAATCACAACAGGCTAAGAGCAGGTATTTCTTGTAGTTTACTAGAAATGTCGACCAGTTTCATTCCTTACTAGTGGGCTTTTCAGGTCAAAAAGATGACTATGAGTATGAACAAACTGAGACCTCTGTCTAGTTTGTGAAATGGGGCTCTAAGCTTTATTACAAGTACCACTATAGACTTAGATGCTGACTTAGACCTTCCTGTCTATTAAAATAATAAAAAGTACCACTATAGACTTAGGTGCTGGCTTAGACCTTCCTGTCTAGGGATGTTGATTGAAGCTCTTCAACTTCTTATCCTAGTGGCATCTTCATGTAATCATAACAAGAGGCCCAAGAGGGCCTGTATCGCTCACCTGAATATTTAAGCAGTCATAGCAAAATATTCTCATTAAATATTATATTGCACTAAAAATATTTCCCTCGCAAACTTTGTTGGCTCCACCTGTTGAAACTAACAGCAAAATATTATTATAAGATTCTATGCTTTTTAAAGATTCTTCTTCAGAAGTTGCTTGACATATTTTTCCCTGTGATCTTGTAAGTAGGTCAATGTCATTTTCCTTCTCAAATTGGTTAGCTCTATTCCAAAAAGCTACCAGCCAAATCTTATGAATCCATTCCTTTTAGTTCTCAAGAACAAATCCATTAAAATGTTGTTGACCTCTGTGACCTCTAAAGTAGGTTGAGGTCATTTTCATTTGCAAACTTTGGTGAGCTCTATCCCGGGAAGTCACCAGCCAAATATTATAATTTTATGCCTTTTAATTCTTCAGAAGAAGCTGTTTGAACTGTTTGACATATTTGAACGCTGTGACCTTGAAAGTAGGTCAAGGTCATTTTCATTCGCAAACTTTGTTTGGCTCTTTCCCAGGAAGCCACCTGCCAAATATTAAGATTTTATAACTACCAGTTCTTCAGAAGAAGTCGTTTAAAGTGTTTGACATATCTGCCTCATGTGACCTTAAAAGAAGGTCAAGGTCATTTTCATTCTCAAACTTTGTTCGGCTCTTTCCTAGGAAGCTACAAGCCAAATATAGAGATTATATACCTTTCAGTTCTTCAGAAGAAGTCGTTTGAAGTGTCTGACACATTTGACTCCTGTGACCTTGAAAGAAGGTCAAGGTCATTTTCATTCTCAAACTTTGTCGGGCTCTATCCAAGGAAGCCATCAATCAAAAATAAAGATTCTATACCTTTCAGTTCTTCAGAAGAAGTCATTTGAAGCTTTTGACATATATGACCCCTGTGACCTTGAAAGTAGGTCAAACTAGTTTTCATTCTCAAACTTTGTTGGGCTCTATCCCAGGAAGCCACCAGCCAAATATAAAGATTATATACCTTTCAGTTCTTCAGAAGAAGTCGTTTGAAGTGTTTGACACATTTGACCCCTGTGACCTTGAAAGAAGGTCAAGGTAATTTTCATTCTCAAACTTTGTTGGGCTCCATCCAAGGAAGCCATCAGCCAAATATGAAGATTCTATACCTTTTAATTCTTCAGAAGAAGTCGTTTGAAGTTTTTGACATATTTGACCCCTGTGACCTTGAAAGTAGGTCAAACTAATTTTCATTCTCAAACTTTGTTGGTCTCTATCCCAGGAAGCCACCAGCCAAATATAAAGATTATATACCTTTCAGTTCTTCAGAAGAAGTCGTTTGAAGTGTTTGACACATTTGACCCCTGTGACCTTGAAAGAAGGTCAAGGTAATTTTCATTCTCAAACTTTGTTGGGCTCCATCCAAGGAAGCCATCAGCCAAATATGAAGATTCTATACCTTTTAATTCTTCAGAAGAAGTCGTTTGAAGTTTTTGACATATTTGACCCCTGTGACCTTGAAAGTAGGTCAAACTAATTTTCATTCTCAAACTTTGTTGGTCTCTATCCCAGGAAGCCACCAGCCAAATATAAAGATTCTATACCTTTCAGTTCTTCAGAAGAAGTCGTTTGAAGTGTTTGACACATTTGACCCCTGTGACCTTGAAAGTAGGTCAAGGTCATTTTCATTCTCAAACTTTGTTGGGCTCTATCCCAGGAAGCCATCAGCCAAATATGAAGATTTTATACCTATTAATTCTTCAGAAGAAGTCGTTTGAAGTTTTTGACATATTTGACCCCTGTGACCTTGAAAGTAGGTCAAACTAATTTTCATTCTCAAACTTTGTTGGACTCTATCCCAGGAAGCCACCAGCTAAATATAAAGATTCTATACCTTTCAGTTCTTCAGAAGTCGTTTGAAGTGTTTGACACATTTGACCCCTGTGACCTTGAAAGTAGGTCAAGGTCATTTTCATTCTCAAACTTTGTTCGGCTCTATCCCAGGAAGCCATCAGCCAAATATGAAGATTATATACCTTTTAATTCTTCAGAAGAAGTCGTTTGAAGTTTTTGACATATTTGACCCCTGTGACCTTGAAAACAGGTCAAGGTCATTTTCATTCTCAAACTTTGTAGGGCTCCTACCAACGAAGCTTTCAGCCAAATATCATGACTCTTGGCCCGTCCGTTCTTCAGAAGAAGTTGTTTAAAGGAAAAGTTGACGGACGAGGACGGACGGACGGACGGACGACGCACCATGGCATAAGCTCACTTGGCACTTCCTGCCAGGTGAGCTAATAATACAAGAACAGGATTAAAACAGCTTACATGCTCGGTGCCATTTATTTCATCCTTTTCGCCAGTTTTTCGGATATTGTAAATCCTACAAGGCCGAGATGGAACAGGCCCTCAAATGACCTTATTATAAAACCTAATAAACACCACAATGGAAAAGCTGCTTAGGCCAGTTAGGGAAACGAAGAAAACTAAAAAAAATCTCAAATTTAAAATGGAGCAGCACTACTTGAGAGTTATAGATGAATACAATAAATAATATATATATATAGGACGAAAACCTCCATACACAGACTATATACATGGTGTTGTAGCTAAGACAATCCCTAATATAGCTTACCTGCATCTGTTTTTACTTACTCATTCACGATCAGCCAGCTGGCTATATATACTGGTATGTAAGGAGCGCCAAATTAAAGAATAACTCCGTTTCCTGGTTATATTATATATAATTATCCAATCCATAATAGAATTGAGGGAACTAGTAGCGTAGGTATCGTACAATTGTAGAAGTGTAGGTGTGATTTTTTTAAGGGGAAAACTACTTTCAAATTAATTGACTATTTATACCTTATAAATTTCTGTAACATTTTTTGTTTGTTTTCTTAGAAATGGGTCTGTAACAGATTTATGTACTTGTCACATACATGTACATGACATCTGTTCTACAAACAGAATTGTAAATTACTGATAACGACTTACAGGGTTATTCGTAACAGGCATTGTTTTCCTTGTACCTTCTTTATCAATTCTAAAGTTAAAATCCCAAGAGAAAACTCTTTGGCCTGTATATATTCATGAAACTGTTCTCATGCTCAAGCATGGATTTTGTGCTCATGCAAACCTTATTTCTTGTTCCCGTTATAAATCAATTAAAAAATCTTAAGTTGTCCATGATATGGAAAAGTTTTGAAGAGACTTAAAGCTGAATACTGTTTTCAATGTCTGCATTTGACTTTTTGGTCGTTCGACATGATTTAAGCAAGGTAAAAAAAAGTTGGTTTGAGCACAGAATCCATGCTCGGAGCTTGAGAACGGTTTCACGAATACGGGCCCTGGTATAAGCAATATATCTCTTCTACAATATTTATAACTTGTATATTCTTATTGAAACGTATAGACCTGTAAAGACATTTTTATGTTTAAATGACTCAGGATGGAAATTAAAACTATAGATAAATCACAAAGCTTTGCTGATGAAAAATATGAATAATTACTCCATTGATAAATCAATAAAATTATTTGAGTTGACTGTGTATGACTGTTGAATTGAGCGACTTTGTACGGAGACGGGAAACAATTACAACATGTTTATTGCGCCCTAATTACCTTCCCACACACAGTGTGTGTAAAACAGTTGATCGACTAGGGAGGGCTTCACCTACAGTCGTAAACAAGTCGCGTGGTATATGACAGTGGTTAAGGAAAGAGTGTAACTGTCACAATGACAGATGATATATACACTGTACATATAACATCGCACACAGCACTAACTAAATCATTTTACTAACACAGAACCGGATTGGCAAAATTAGCTTTAAAACTGTTGTCTCACAAAACAGAGATATATTGTCTTGTGTTCAATTTTCTTTTGAAATATTCAATTTATTCAAAACTTTCATGAAATCAAGGATGAATATCAATTCCAATAAGATGTTAATAAACTATTTGACTACAGAGTTTGCATAAATATTAAATTATCACTTTAGTAAATTAAATAGTTTTTAAACATTTTGAACCATGATCAACCATCAATCCACTACATTTTTCCTGTAGGATCAATATCTGCAAAATGCAGTTTAACTTGATACATACTTTCCATTTAATATTATCACTCACTACAATGTATAATGTGTACATGTAACTGTTATGGATGGGTATAATTGAAATGTGGGCCATCTAATGTGACACACATAATCTTTCGATTTTTCTGTTTTTCCATTGTTAATGACGAAGTAAAAATTATGAATCTTAATGTCATATATTTTATATAAAAACACAGAACTTATAAATGTCTTATCAGCACCCTTAATGAAAGAGGTAAGAATGTACATACTTGGAATTATCATATATATATTAATGAACCAACAATCTGTATACCGGTACATAAATGTGAACTACCAACATAGTTTGAGTTTATAATGTGGCAGAATGTACATGATTACGGTCGCCTTGGTTCGAGCTAGAGGGACTTTCCCTTTAGCTCAGTGGTAGAGCGTCCGACTAGGAACTAGGGTTTGCGGGTTTGATCCCCGGTCGGTGGAAGCACAATATTCTCTTTCCCGTGACAATAAAGAAGTACCAACTGTCACTACAGTTCAATTTGCTAAACAATTTGAAAACAAAATGGTACCCAAAAAAAGTCGGTGATACTCAAAACTTTTCCAGGTGCAGAAGCATAGACAGAGGTAACCCAGAAACGGTTCTTGAAGACTTTAACGTATATTTTTGACAACCAGTGCTTTCAGTCGACCCTTGACAACAATCAATGTCAGAAGTTGAAAAGAATTTTCTCTGAATTTTTTGAGAGTCAAATCATATGTCAAATAGATATGGTTTTTAAAATTTAGAGTCAAAACTCCTTTTTAGGAGCCAAAAAGATCCTTTCATGGTTCTACAGAAGGCCCTGACAGAATTGAAACATGCATGCACTGTCTATCCCTCCGCTTCAGAAGGGGAGGGATAGACAGTGATCATACTACACTGTTTATAGTAGAACCTATCTTGCGCATTTGACAATTCTTTTCAATGTCAATTGTCAATTCATCAATTAACAGCAACACATTCAACACAAAATGTATTCTTATCGCAACCAGAAAAAGTTGTGAGAAACGCTGAAAGTGTATGAATTGAGTGCTATCACAATACACAAGGGGAACTCTCTTGTCTCGATAGCACCACGTACAAGGCACGCTACATTCCACTGTATGTATGACAGAAACTATGTTACCTGATTCGTTGTGCTGCTCATTCACATGCTAAAGAATAAATCCCACTTTTCCTTTGTGACGATAACTTTCCCAACGTTAGAAGTGTACCCACTGCCCTCCTTCACTTCCTACCGAATCTGGCTCACTTATAAACAAATCCGCCAAACTATCGCAATATCTTCGCTGTAAAGCGCGTAATTGATCGTGATCTGATCAGGGGTTCACCACGGGATATTTTGAGTCTAAAATGAAGACAATATATTGTAGACCACAAAAATGTCATATCTTTTTCGGTTAGATCACGGAATGGTATGAAAATCTATCTCAGTCCGTGCTTTACTTCATCGCGCTATTTTAAGATTGCTCGACATGTGCCTATATGTTTTCCGTATCACATCAACTTGTTTCTATATATATATATGTGAGTTGTAATGGGCATTTTTACAAAATTGCGTCTATGGGATTGACGTCAAACTATAACTTTTATGCTGGGATGAGAGGCAATATCTTAACAACAGGGATACGGATAATGATATGAATATTACCACAAGATACACTGGATAATTCTCTTATATGATATCAAGTTTTATCAAGGTTTAACTATATATAGGATGTCAAACGATCGTCACGAACAAGTAAATTAACATAGAATCCGATGGGGAAAAAAGACGTTACAGTTAACGTGAAAACTTATGGCACGTCACTGTATTTGTCTGAGTTTTTGTTCGTTCTTTCTATATTTACCATTTTACATGTATGCATAATCCCAAGAGGCACTTGCATTGACGAATTCTTCGGTGAGAAACCCGTACGTCCAAAACCACGGACTTAGATAACAATCTAATTCCGTGCCAAAACCAACAGCCAGGTCTGCAAAATTGTATATTATTCACATGCTTAAATATATCCCTCTTTTAATAATGATAACAATAATAATATACAGAATTTGATATATCGCCCTATCTAGCTAAACTAAGTCACTCTAAAGAGCTTTACATTACATACAGAAGATATATAACTTATACAATTTAAACAATCAATACAATTAGCATATATATACAATTTTGAGGAACTTACTACTAGTACGTTCTATTCCACTTGACTAATATCTCCCTATGTGTGTATGCCTGCGTGTGTTTTTTCATTTCAAAATATTTTATTAAATTAATCAGATTTAATGGGAATTGGGCAACAGGCAAAGCCTATACAGGCCCTCTCCCAGGAGATACATCTCAAACAATAGCAATATAATTAACTATGAATATTTACATAATGAACATGCTTTAGTAACATAAGAATTAGATCAGTGTCAATGAGGACAGGAGACACCATACATACACACATGCATGCATACATACATGTACAAACATACATACACCCATACATACATGCAAGCATGCAAGCATGCATGCATGCACGCACACACACACCTACACACACACACGCACCCACACATACATACAAACATACATGCGTGCATACATACACATATACATACATACATACATACATACATACATACATACATACATACACATATACATACATACACATATACATACATGCATACATAAGATATTTCAAAATCTGTTGGTTGATTCTATATATCTCTGAACACAAACACGAATAGCAGAGTTACGATATTTACTAAGGAAACTACTTCCTTTAGTCAATATATCAATATTAAACATTAGATGTTCATAAATGTTTAGGTCCAAGTTTAAGCGTAAATTTAAGTTTGTGTCAAGCTGTAAATGAGACAGAGATATTAAAATATTTTGTCTTTGAGTCATATATCTAGGGTAATGCAAAAAGGAGTGACTCACATCTTCATTATTGTAACCACATATACAGGAGGGATTATCATTATGATGGTCTCTAAAGAGATCAGAGTTCAACTGACTTGCACGATTTCGAAGTTGACATAATATTATGTTAAAGGTCTAGTCCCTTCATATTTAAAAATCTTAGTACATATATCTTCATTATTTTGGGGTATGGCATGATGAACAAGTTGTTTGAGTTCAGTAATAGATCTCAAATTATAATAGTTACATTCAGGTCTATTTCACCAAGACATTATGCTAGGAAAGAAACTGTTGAAATATGCATTAGATCTACAAATTGGTGGTTTAAATATACATTGATGTCGCACATGATGGGCCATAGCTTCATTGCTGACTATATAAGGTTCAACAATTTCAAAAAGATAATTAGGGCTAACATGGTTAATTATTTAAAAAAACGATATATGTTGCTGATCCTTTCTACATTTCTTAAGAGTATCCCATCTAATTTCATTATAGATGATTTCATGACTAGTACCTCTTCAGAGACCAGTAACTATTCTAGCAGCATCTAGCTGGATAGATTCAATAAGATCTGATTCAGTTTGATTACAATTATTCCATACAACACTAGCATACTCAAGATTTGGACGAATATATGACTTGTATATCATTTCTAGAGATTTTCTACCAAGTTTGTGTTTGAGTGACCTAAATATATGCATCTTATTACATGTAGTATTATATATGAAATTGATGTGATCAGACCACAAACCATGGCTGTTAAAACAAATAGCCAGATGTTTATGCTGTTTTACATTTACCACAAAATTGTTAAGAAATGTGAGAACAGGATGCATTTCATCTGCATTTAATTTATTTGATACAAGAAGAGCTTCTGTTTTACTAGGATTAAATAATATCCCCCATCTATGAGCCCAGATAGATATTCTATGGAGATCGTTGTTTAAAATTTCAGCAGCCGCATTGTTATCATTTTCTATAAGTAGAAACAGTGAGATATCATCTGCAAAACATTTCACATTTGACTCAATTTCTTTTTCTAGGTCATTTATATATAAAAGAAATAAATATGGCCCGCGGACTGAGCCCTGTGGGACACCGGCTGTAAGCTAAGTGTACGCCAAGAAGACTTGTACCCATCAATTATTACTCTTGGTTGTCTATCAGTTAAATAATTAGAAAGCCAATTAAGAAAATTGTCTTCAATACCATATTTTTCAATTTTTACACAAGTCCATCATGCAAAACCCTATCAGAGGCCTTACTAATATCACAAAACACAATTCTGGCCTCTTTTCTTCTATCAATTTTGAGGAACTTACTACTAGTAAGTTCTATGCCAACTAACTAATATCTCCCTATGTGTGTATGCCTGCGTGTGTGCTGGAGATGTATTGATTGCTGATTTGATAAAAGGAATTATTAGACCAGTATCTTCTCAAAGAAACATGGAATGATTTATTTCCATATATACCAGAAGATAAATGGAAAGAGTTACTTAAGGAAAGTTCTGACGAAGTCCTAAAATTATAATTTTCTGATCTTTAAGAAGTTTCCATTTTATATGAACGTAAAACAAGCCTTATAAAGAATATTGACAAAATGAATGCTATTTTTTTTATCATATATATAATTCACGAAACAGCGCAAAATTTAGTATCAACAATGAATCAGAAATATTCAGAAAAGGCAGCCTAATTTGCAAGCTACCTTTCACAATGAGTTCAACTAACAGAAAATCAACAACCACCCACATGAAATCGTTTCAATATAACAAAACCACGGACTTAGTCTAATTACGTGATATAAACATACCCATGAAAGAAATATGAGTAAGAGATTAAACACTCGTATTTCTGCTTTTAAACACAGACATAATAATATCCTTAGCTTATTTAAGTCTTCAGTGTTGTTTAAGAGCTGATTCAACTTGAACACGTATGACTGTAATAGTATAGTATATATATATATATAACGTCAGACATTTGTGTTCGTTTAACCTTGTTTTGACATATGTATTACATGATACACTTATATTTAAATCTGTTTCCTTTCATCGTAACCAACATTAACAGCTATATACTAGCTTTAGGGACAGTGACGTGATTATTAACAGGGGAAGTTAGAGGAGAGTTAGGGACTGGCAGTGTGAAATATGGTATATTCAGGAACTCGTCATGTACAAGTTGTGGTCAAGACAAATGCCTTATTGCTGCGTGATCGGTAGTATATATATATATATATATATATACATATGAGTAAGATCAAACATAAACAATATACTCTATGATAATTGAGTGTTTGAGTCATTTGTGTTGTCACTGAAACCTAAAGTCGATATATATATATATAACGTTTGTCATTTGTGTTGATCCACAATACAATTATCTGGCTTGTTATATATAGTAAATCCTTCAAGCCAAACCTATGATTTTTATCCGCATAACTAATGGACGTAATTGAACTTCTTTATAAGTATTGCAGGTCTGTGATGTTGGAAGGGAAACAACTCTTGTAAAGCCCTGCATACTCCAACAAAATGTCAATGTTTTGGGGGAAATGCACTTTGATTTTTTTACATATGCACTTCTGTGAATTATTATCGGAAAGCAATGCAAAATAAGCAAAACAGGGATATTATTAATTTGTTTAACGGAATGATTATGCACTATATTTTTTTCGTGATACGGATCTTGACACTTAATGGGTATAGTAAGTCCGTCACTGTGTGGGCGCTCAAAGTCAGTATTTTGTGTCTCTCTTCGCTGGACGTTTCCAGTCGACGTTTAAGTTGTGCTTTGTTTTGTATATCTTTATTCTAATTCCCTACATGAATCGTTTATCAGTATCGGGTGAGAACTCAGGAGGTCGCCGATTGGAACTTTCTCAAAAGAATCATAGCTGACTTAGCTTAATGAGGAACTTTTCCTGTCTACTACGAAGAAAAAAAGACCAAGTGCTCTAGAACTTATATTATTAGCTCTGTTGACTAAACTCTGTTACGAGACGTAGTACTTTGGTCTGCTGATGGAACAATACATTTTATGTACGACAACGTAGCCTATGAGAGTCACCGCGTCAGTGTAATTAAGCATGGACTCCATTGTCCTATATTTCTGGACAGGATTGCAGAAAATTTCGAATAACGCGCCTCTTTTTTTCTTACAACATTATCAGAAGGGACGACTAACCACTGAACTGTAGGATGATCGGGACGTTCTCGTTTTTGTTATTGTGAACTTTTCCTTTCTTGATAGCAGCCACTTTCTCAAAATATTCGGTATTCAAGAGCTTGTTCCGAATAATTTAGTTGGTAGATGTTGACTGCTGACAGACGAACTTACAGTACAGTGTTGTAAAGGACGCAGGTTGGTGACAGACGAGCTTACAATACATTGTTGAGAAG